TGCTTCTCGTGCCACAGACTCTTACTGTTCTTATCAAGTTTACTGAATGTTCCCAGATAAATGTTTCTCCATATGCTGTATACTCATAGGACAATATCCAGAGACTTTAAATGGTTGCTTTTCATAATTTTCTCTAGTTAAATGTTTCTTTCAGTGGGGAGCGTCAGATGAGCTCCTCACATTGCCATTCCAGAAGTGTGGTGCCCATTGAGGTTTTTTATTTCCCCCATAAAACTAGTATGAAAAATTTTAAACAAGAAAATTGGAAGATTTTCCACAGTAGATACTCATATTCTCCTTACCAATATTCTACCATTTATATTTTGTTATAGTTATTTTATTGTATATCTGTTGACCTATCACTCTGATGTGTTTGGGGATGCATTGCAAAGTAAGTTATATACATCAGTAACTTCTAAATTTTCCAGCATATGTGTCATTAACTTGAATTTTTTACTTACAGTCGACATTCAGCATTAAATTAGTTTCAAGTGTACAGTATAGTGATTAGACATTTATATAACTTACAAAGTAGAATTCAATATCTGTTTGCAGTTTTTTTTTTAATTTTGGGATAAAATTTACATACAATGAAATATATAAATCTTAAGTGTACAGCCATTGAGTTCTGACAAATTCATGTGCCTAGGCAACCCATACTCCTATCAGGATATAAAATATTTCCAGTCCACACCCCCTGACCAAAGTTCCTTGTCTCATCCCGGTCAGTCACCACCACTTCCTGTCCCCCAGAAGTAACTACTGTTACGATTTTCCCCCACCATGTTAGTCTTTCCTGTTCTGGAACTGAATATAAAAGAAATCATACAGTATAAACTCTATCCTGTGAAACTTCTACCCTGATGATTTTGAGAGGCATCCATATTGGAGGAATCAGTACTTCATTTCTTTTCATTGCTGAATAGTATTGCATGATATGAATATACCATTTTTTTAATCCATTCTCCAATTTACAGTCACCGGCTCTATTTCCTGGAGGACCTCGGGCAGAGAAGTGACATCTAGTTTACCTTTTAGATAAGTCATTATGGTTAGTAAATGGAAGGTGAACTATGAGGGGAGGGCAAGAAGGGGCAAAAAACCGATGAGGAGGCTCTGTCAGTGGGTCAGGTGATATTCGAGGTTGGTTTGGATGCGCACCGTAACACTGGAGTTGGGGAGAGGGGGTCTGATTCAGGGTATATTTTGGAAGTCAAGCCGACAGGCTTTGCTGGTGAATAGGATGTGGACAGTGAAGGACAAGAAAGAACCGAAGATGACTATTCTCCCAGGCCACTCCTTTAATGATACTTTGCCAACATGATGGTGGAGAGGCAATAAAAACCAAGCCAGAAACTCTCTGCTTGGAGATTTGGCTAAAAGTCAATTGGAAGCCAATCAGTAAGCAAATATTTGCCAAATGCTTCCAGGTGGCACTTAATTAGTTCATCTGCTGTACCCTATAAACACATGCAACTCCTCAGAAAACCAGCATAGTTTGTACTTTCTCTTACCATGGTGATATCACTATTAGAAATACAAGTCAGCTTAATTTTTGAATCTCTACTTTATTCTCTCCTTCCCACCTGCCACCCCACTTGACCCTGCACTTCTGAGCTGTTGGCTTTAAGATTTGACTTCCCTTCCTTCTCTCAAACAGGAAACTTTTAAATGTCAGTTCTTTCTTATTTGAATCTTTGAACATGTTACTGTGTTTCTCAGAATAGAAGATTCAATGATTGGCCTTTTATCTAAGTGTTACATAAAGGACAAGCCCTTTACAAAAATGAAGATGAGATCAAGTTTCGTTCATTAACCAAAGATTTATTGAGTGCCTGCTGTGTGCTAGGAACTGTGCTAGGCATTGGTTATACCAGAGTGAATAAGTTGGTGTCTGCCCTCAAAGAGCTAAAGTATGTAAACTGCAGGGTTTTACTATAGTAGGATAATTATATTCTAGTAGAAGGCCTGTACAAGGGGCACTCAACAGAGGCTTAAGGATAAAACCAGGAAAAGAATCCCAGAGGAGGTGTTTTAGTGGAGAACTGCGGGATCAAAAAAACAAACCAGAGAAATTGGGGTGGGACAGAGTAAGGTATTCCAGGCGGGAGAAATAGCGTGGCTGGAATGTAAGCTGCGTGATAGGAGGGGCTCTGCCTGTTGTTCGGTGCTGTATCCACAGCACCTTGGACATGCCTTGGCACAGAGTAGGTATCCCTTAAACGTGGGAGAGGAATGAAGAAATCCCTTAACTGAAGTACTGTATTCAAATCCCTTCACTATAGTTATTTATAATTATTTTTTCCTCAATACTGTATTTAAAAAATAACCTCTGTCTGAATGACCAGGAACATTTTGTGCAGAAGAGGGGTCCGGCCCTCCACAGAAATCCCAGGGTATTGGGGATCCCCATCTAATGCCTATCAGAGATTTATTGTTAATTGGCCTGTGTGACTCACATATATTCATTTTTAATTTTGCTTTGCTGTTGTGTGAAAGTAATTCAGTAGAAGTCATGATAATATAGATAGTAAAATTAATTTATATTTAGCTTGGGTTTAAATCACATACTAAATTATAAACTGTTTTCTGAGAAATGTTACAGAAAAAATAATGGCAGATTTTTGTACAAAATAGCAGAAGTTGATTCAGCCTTCCCATCTCTCTCCATAACTACTATGCATAATTTAAAAATTATAGTTTTGATTCACACTTACTAAAAACTTAGCAATTGCACTTGTATAGAAAATGAAGCCACATAGTAACAGTTCAATTACAGTCAAAACTATCTTTCTCACCCTCCAAAAAAAAAAAAACCAACTTTAAAATGTTTGACTCCTTTCTCTCAAAGTGGAGGGCTTAGGGTCGTAACCCAGCATGATGTTTTGGTAAAACCGTGCATTTCTGTCCTAAAACAAAACTGTTCGGAATTATGCTTGATCCAGATGCAAGAGACCTTGTTCCCCAAACTTGAATACTAGCCCTGAGAAATTCAGATCAAATTCATCCCTCATGTATGTTTTAACATCCTCAGACCCCGTGTAGCTAAGTAGTCTGAGGAGACAAGTAGATGCCTTTCTGTTGCTGGGATCTGGGGAGGGAACAGATGTCTCCAAATGAGAAAGGCTGTTTTGCGGAACACCATGTCCTTTGCTCCTCACAGGTTCTTGGCTCCCCAAACTCCCCATATCCCGCAGTGGGTGCACTGACACTCTCATCTCTGAATCCAGCGTCAGCCACCTGAACGCGTGGATAGGAGAGTGTTCCATTGCTCACTAAGTGTTGTTCAACACTGGATTTTTAAAGAGATGATATAGCATGATTTTATGTTATACTGTCTTATGTTTGTAGTGGCAAGAGCATTTGCCTGGGAGATCCTTGGCTCTTGAGGAGTGTTTAGAGTGGTTTGGATTTGGATGTTAGAATAAATTCATTCCTTTAAAGCCCCATATAAATTAACTTCAAATACCCAACTGGCAAAGATAGGTACTCAAGCATTTTGGGTGGTGATACAAAAAAACCCCATCTGACATTCAGGGAGCTTTATGGTGTGAGGACCATGTCAGAAGTGGGAGTGGGAACACAAGGAGAGATGAAAGGACATTATCTCTCAGGTTTGGACAAAATGAACTATTTAAAAAGTTAGGACTCAGAGGACCATGGAGTTTCAGACAGATATAGACCTTCTTCCTATTCCTTCCAGCCTGAGGACAGGGCCAGTGTCAGGAGTCCGTGGTATAGATACTTGGCATGTCATGAAAAGTCACCTGTCCTGGAGCAAGACGGCCACCAGTGCTGCTGCCCGGGGCAGGCTGCGCTATTGCCAGGCTGGCCATGGAAGAGTCACCTGGATCACTTGCATTATATGTATGTATTTCCCCTCCCTCGCCCTGAGAGATTCCAATTCTAGCAAATCTAAGGTGAGGCATGGCAAAAATAATTTTTAACTGATGATTCTGATGTACAACCAGATCTGGGGACCATTGCAAAGACTGGGAGAAACAGCCCTTCTCGTTAGGAGAGGTGACGAGAAAAAGCTAGATAACACCAATTATACAAGGGCAGGGGTTGAATATGAACTCTTTGCCCAGACCGTAGATTGATGCATATGGTATTATCACAGGTTATGCCTCATGCAAGGAAGAAAGGGCTTAGTTGCTGGTTGTCTACTTTCTACAACTTCTTAAGAGGGCAATGTATCATTTAGTATTGATCAGTTTACACTTTGTCATCTGACACTGAACATTGTCTTGGTAATTTTCCTATGTGTGGATGTTAGATAATAGCAAAAGAAAAAATATATATATAAAGATGATTATGTCCTTAGGTTAAGATCTCTGAGAATGAGCATTTCTTAATTTAGTGTTAAGAAAATTAGAAAACACAAAAGGGGACATTCCAAACAATCTCATTTTGGAATCTTAATGTTAACAGGTAGCAGCTTCATGGGTCAAAATCTTCCATGTGTTAGGAAAACAGTGAGGAGCAATGACATCCAAATCAGGCCCAGCCACCCCATGAACTTAAGAGCTTGCTCTGTTGCGCAGAGATTTTGTTTCCTATTTGTGATCGTGGGTAACCGTGGTGGCCAGGCTCGTGGGGAAGCATCCCATCCTGTTCCGCATTCCCTTTTTGAATCCACTGGGAGCTCCCAGGGCTCAGAGTTCACATCCCTGTGGAGTGTACTAGTGGGATCTTTGCTGAAAGACCCATTTCCCTGATTTTCCTGTCTCTCCCCTTTCCCACTGGGCAAGATACGGACAGAGACATTAATGGATTTACTCCACTGATACTGTGTGGTGCCAAATAGGACCCCAGGCCATGGATCCTCTGAAGCCTATACAAATAGGAAGGCCAAGAAGAAAAGAAGACAGTTCTGCCTTTTCAGTGGTAGAATGTGCCGCTCACATAAGGTCACTGAGTCTCTTTTCTAGACTTGAGTGGAGCTACAAAGATTTCTCAGTTTAAGCACGTGTGGGCATAACTTATACTCATGTGTATACTGGCAGAGATAAATCATATTTTGCTGTGTATGATGTGCACTATTTTTGCCCAAATTTTTGAGGGAAAAATAAGTATGCACATTTTACAGGAGTATATTGATTACATGCCATGGGTATAATAATCCCATGTATAATGCACACACAAATGCAGGTGCAGATTATACACAGCAAAATATTGGTAATTAAGGTTTAGAAGCAACCTTCAGTTAATGTGGCTGAGGCTGGTGCCTAGTGGGAACAGAGCCTCCTCAATCCTCTTGATAGAATTGCCCAGAGGGGGTCCAGGTAGACAGAAGATCCAGTGACAGATTTCTCTGCTCTTGCTCAGATTTGACGAGGTGGTAGCCCAACACCTTCATGATATCACCGCAGACTTTCTGAAGCTGAGAAACCTTCCCGTAAGGCAAGGACAAGCGCCAGGCCTCAGAGATTTTGAGGGCATCCCTGGAATCTGTAAGGAAGGCATGAGTACCTATGCCCTTGCCTCGAGTGATGTTATGCACCCAGGTCCTGAGGTGAGGCAAGAATTTCAATCCTGCATATTCATACATTCGAGCAGTCTGGGCCAGGGGGTCCCGGACCAGGTCCTCATAGCGCATGAGCAGGTAGTGCCGCCTGAGAGCTTTGGGCAAGGTCTGCGCAGCATTGTAGATCTCCAGCTGGCTTTGGCAGATGGCCTGCAACACATAGTAGGATTGGTCATCCTCCTTGAGCTTCTGCTGCTCCTGCCTCATCACAATTTGGTTATCAATCATGAGATGCTCCCTGGTGTGTTCTCGGGAATGGAACACTGCCCGGGGGTCCCGGACCAGATGCACAATGTGCAGATTGAGGGAAGGGTCCCTCAGCAGTGGGTAGAGGACCTGCAGGTTGAAGAAGCGCACCTCCTTGAGCACCACGTGGCTGTAGGAGCGGCAGGCCTTCTCTACCACGCCAAAGGGCTGCTTACTGCACAGGATCTTGCAGTGAGCCTGGGGTATGATCACATCCCGTGGGAAGATGTCACAGGCAGGGGGGGAACACAGGGCCCGGCTGGTTTCCCACTGGAAGAGGCTGGACTGTGTTCGGGGACCAGGTTCCATGTAGGCATCAAAGACACTCATGTCACACAGAAAGATGGCGCGTATCAGATCCCGCACTGCCATATGCAGCCTCCAGGGAGTGCTTTGTGTGAAGGTCATCCAGATGTGCCAGGCAGGCTCCATCAGGTAGAAGACATCTGGGTGCTGCCCAAAAAGCTGTCCCACTAAAGAAGAGCCAGAGCGCCAGGAAGACAGAACCAGCACGTGTGTGGTCTTGAGCCGCTCCTTGCTAGATGGGGAATTGAAGTCGTGGCTGTACAAATGGATGAAGAGAGTGAAGATGGCTATCTGGGAAACCAGGAACAATAGCAGTGGCTTTTTTTTGGGCAGTATCATCTTGCTGAAGTGGAAGACCTTTAAGGAACAAGCAGAGGAGCTGTGTTGGGCTGTTGTTTTGGTGTCTGCCTTCTAGTCCAAACCACCTTCTCCCTAACCCCAACCAATGAGCAATGCAGAGGGCTGGACCTTCTTGCAAGCAGTTCCCCAAATGCTCCTCAGAATCAATTCCTGTTCCTTGACAATAAGTTCTATTTGCTTTAGGCTCTTTTCTTCCTCTCTCTTGGTCTCTGTTGTCCATTGAGTTACCAAAATGTCTGAACTCAGCCACATTTCATCCATGTGGGGTCCCACCCTGGCACCCCAGTGACATCTTCACACAAGCCACTAGGCAAAGCTTAACTGCAGCCCGGCCCAAGTTTTGCTTGAAAGCCCTGTGATTCCTTCTAAAACTAAGGAAGATAAGGTGGCTTGTGAGGAATTGCATGAGGCCACCACCCACCCTCCTACCTTGAGAGTGCCACATCCTCCTCCTTTATCTCAGTTAAGCACGGGACTTTCAGTCCCCTAAGGTTACGGCTGCACGCTATAAAGCTGCTTGGCTTTAGGTTGGAGTTACCTCCTCAGTGTCAGGTGGTCGCCCCTGATTTGGTCTCATCGCATGGGACTAGAAAATGAGGAGCTGACCCAATGCTGACCTCACATACATGCAGGTAATAAATTACCCAAAACTGTTTAGGTTGAGTCATCTCCTTAACAGCCAGCTCTATAAAGTGTGGCGAGCCAACCTGAGAGCGCAGTAGTGATACCGTGCATGGCCTGCCAGCGGCGCTGCTGCTCTGTGGGAGTACTTGTCCGCTGGCCACAACCTACTCAGGGCCACCCCGTGTGGGTGGGCGGGTGGTGTACTGTCCAACCCTAGGGAATGCCATCTCATCAAGAATTTAAGGTTTATACTAAAAAAATGTTCTGGTAGGTGTCAGAATAGTATCTTTGTCCAACAGAACAAATATATTAGGTTGATTTGCTAGTTTTTAGATGTTAAATATTTAGAGAAGTGAACTTCACTTTGTAATTCATTCTAAAGCTCACACAGACTGGGGGCAACCCTGAACTTCTACCACAATCAGGGCTCACTTTGTGTGAAAAGACAACAGTCCTTAGTGCCATGCTAGAATATTATCCCGAGGGACATCTTAACCCTCTTTAAGGGGTTGAGATGATTCTGGATCATTTTGGGCGACTTCCTGATATACATAACTATTAAGACTCAAAAGAACTATTTCACAAAGGGTAAAATATTAATAGTAGCAATGTGTTAATTTGCACATCATGTATAACCCAGAAGTTCTTCCTTAAAGCTTTAATAAAGAAGAGAAGTTATATTTCTAGACGGTAACTGGAGCTGGATTTAGGGTTTTCAATTTTCCTGGTGACAAGTTTTATCACTAGTTTTTCAATAAGTTCTTAATAGGTGATAGTCACATGGTTCAAATTGTTTTAAAAAGTATTAAATATTGGGGGATCACTCTGTAAATTATATAAATGTCTAAGCACTATGTGTATACCTGAAACTTAAATAAAATAATATAGGATGTTAACTACAATTGGAAAATTAAAAAAAATAAACAAAAACAATATACAAAAAATATCATTATTATGGACATTAAACCCACAGACTCAGAATTTAAAAGCAAGCCTCCTAAGATTCTGCGTGCAGCAAAGAGGTAGGGGAGTCCTTGTCAGCCTTCAGCCTTGCCTGTCACACTCCAGGCCTTTAACATGTCACATGATAGGTGAGGGGAAATCCTGTGACATGCTGTGTGTCTGTCATAAATTAGGAAAACTTCCAGAGCTGTTTGTAAACAGGGTTAATGACCTACTTTTTAAACAGGTCATGATATCATTCTGAGGGGAAGGACACCTAAAATTTTTTTCAGCTTCTGAATCAGTAACTTCTCTATTTACTGACAGTCAGTATTTGCGTCTTAGCTGGTGTTTTGTCATCGCTGTCAGTGAAAAGTCTACTTCTAACACCTGTCCTCCATCTGCCCATTTCTAAACTTGCTCTCACATGGCAACTGAGTTCACTTCTTCATGTATCCTTTCAGTTGCTTTTGCATAACAAAAAATTCAAATGTATATGTGTTCTTAATTTTTTCTCTTTTTATAATGCAAAAAGTAGCAGGGTAATCCACACTGTGCCACACCTTGTTTCTTTAACTTAATAATATGTCTTGGACAGCTTTCAGTGGCCTTACCTAAAGTGTTTCCTTGTTTCTTTTTACCACTACATAGAATTCTATTGTGTGGATGTACGATGATTTATTCAACCAGTTTCCTCATTGATGGGCTTTTGAGTTATTTCCAGCTTTTACCATTTCAAAAACTTCAATAATGGCCTTTATGTTCACACATTTATTACCCAGAAGTAGAATTGCTAATTCAAAGAGTACCTATATATATATATGTACCTTTGTTACCTTTAGCTCATATAACCTTCATACTGATCATAAACCATGAGTACGGATATGTATACTCATGGTTTCATATGTACCTTTGATAACTGTTGCTCATAAAGCCTTCATACTGGCCATAAACCATTCTTTAGGTCCACAGCTCCAGAGATGCTAGGGAGTGGAGTTTAGATAAGAAATTAGGCAGCCACAGATGTAATGCTTGGAGTTTACTGCTTGCTTCCTGAAGAAGCAGAGCATTCTTTGCCAGTTCATGGGCTTCCCATGGAAGTCCCCTAAACCTTCTGGGAAGTGTGTAATGACCTAGGTCAAACCTTGTGTGGCCGTGGCACAGAAACCCCTCTCTTCCACTCATGACAACAAAGCACTTCCTCCCTGTGTGCCAAAAGGATCCAGGGAGGATCATCTCTCCTTGGTGGCCAAAAAGCTCTCTGCTATATGCGAGGAAAATGTCAATGAATGGTCATTCCTGTCTTGGCCATTTAGGTTAGTACAGGAACAGCTAAGTGTGCTCCTACTTCGATTAAACTTGAGCCCAAGAGGAAATGATTAGAAACTAAGCCATTATTGATAATGGCCCACTCTCTTCCCACCCTCGCCCCCCGCCACGTCTCCCACCCCACACTGCGAAGACTTTAGCAAGAAGTCTTCTCCCAAAGGCAATGTGAGCATGAGGATAAGTTTGGAACAAAGATAGGAGGCAATGGAGCAAAAGAGAGGAAAGTAAAGAAGAGAAGAACTTGACCTGTGCACAATTGTAAGGAAACTGGGATAGAATTTTATAAGCAGGATCTATAATCAACTCAGGAAAAACCTAACATTTCCTTGGGTTTAGAAAAGCAAACTTTTCAGAGTTACCCCTTCGCTCCCCCATCCCAGCTTTGAGCCAACCCAGTGCCCCGAGAGGGCTCGATGGCTTTGAGCTTGCCTTGCCAGCCAGTAGCGCCTGGCCTCTGGCCCATGCTCTCCCAGACCTGGAGCTGGCTCTTCTCAGCTGCCCTCTGGCTTTAGTTGTCCATGATGCTCAGGAATCCCCATGGAAACCCTGACTTCTTTCTCTGCTTTTTCTTTCCATGGGCACTTTCCCTGGGCAGAAAGAAAGTATGGTTTTGTGAAGTGGGTCCCATCTCTTATCACTGGAATCTAGGCACATTCTGGATCTAGGCAACCCAGGATGGACTGACCAGAACAGCTCGGGATACTTTAAGGTGTGTCTTGGGCAAAGCTCATCTCTGCAGAAACTGTAGTCAGTGGTAGAGGTGGACCTTCTTGAGGCCCTCAGAGAAGCGAGGTGATGTGGCTCCCTGAAGAAAAGAAAACCCGAAGCTGCTTACGGCAATCTCTTCTAGTCTAACCAGCTCCTTTCCCTGATTGTTCTGCACTCACCTCCTCTGTAGTCCTTGGAGTTGATAAGCATTTTGGGGGAGTCTGTGACCTGACTCCATTTCAGAGTCCCTAGTCCACCCTCCTGAGTGTTCTTTTCTGGCTGTTCAGTTGCGTGCTTGAATCCCACCCTTCCTGTTGCTGGAATCCTAAATCTGCTCATCTCTAGCCTGGCTTTGACAGTAAGTAGCCTCTCTCTTCTGTCTCTCAGCTCTCCCCATCATCCATTGCTGCCAAAAACTATCTTTTTAAAGCACAAGTCTGTCATTCCCCTCCTTAAAATCCTTGAGTAACTTTTGAGGGAAGCAGAGTTTCCCACCCCAAAATATTATTTTAAGCTGGTTATTTTAAAGAAACAAAAGACTCAGAAAGAATCATCAACTTTTCTATTAACTGAATAAAAAACTTTATATAGAAGACCTTCTCCCTGGAAGGGAGTCTGTTAATGATGGATAATTATAGTTTAATATAAACTAAGTATGATCAAAGTCCTCTCTGTGTCCCATTGTTAAAAATGTCCCAGCAAATATTTATTTATGAAATGTTCGCTTTTCTATCTTCATATAAATTAACTTCCTGCTCTTTGAAGTCCTAACCTAAACCCCCTCCTGCTCCCTTCTCCTTAGCTCAAGAAGGCATATAAGCCCAATCAGTCCTTGGGTCTCATACCCTAATGGAACCCACACATGAAACTTTGGTCATTTTCTCCTGTCAATCTGTCTCATGTTAATTTTTTAAAAATTTTGTATTGATTTATTTGAGAGAGAGAAGGAGAGACATATATTTGTTGTTTCACTTATTTGTGCATTCATTGGTTGATTCTTGTATGTGTCCTGACTGGGAATAGAACCCACAACCTTGGCATATTGGGATGACACTCTAATCAACTGAATTACCCTGCCAGGGCCTTATGTTAACTTGATTATTAGTTCAGCCAGAACTTAAAAGGGTAGAAGGAAAAATTATTTTTCCTTTCCCACACTTTGCAATTCATACAGACCGAGGGTCCTTGGTGATCTAATCTTTGGTGTCCCATCACTCCCCCCTTTTTGGTGCCTTAGGGTCCAGACTTTACTTTTAGCTCTTCCGAATGTGCCCAGTTATTTAGAAGCCCTGAGACATTTGCAAGACCACTACTCCCTCAAGATTCTGCCCACATATTAGCTTTCTCCCTCAAAGCTATCTCCCTTCCCATGAGACTTAGGTGTTCCCCAAACTTCTCACTCTGTAGTAAACAGCTGTAGGTGAATTACAACCAGCTCTTGAAATTTAAGAATAAACACTATGTCTCATGTTATTTACAGGTATGTGAAACTTACAAGTGTTGGGGCTCATCAAACAGTTGTTGAATGAGTGAATGAACAGTTGACTGGGAAGAGGCAACTTGTTCTTTTCTAAAATGCACACGAATATCTCTTTACTATCAGTTACTAACATTTAGGTGATTCCATTGAGTATTGAGCACAGAACCAATAATGTCTCAATTGCCTGAATCAAGATATTAATAAGTCAGACGTGTAGGTTTGATGCAATATGGCACAGTTAACCTCACTCCAAAAAAGTATCTACACTGAGCATGTATTAATTAAAATGGGGAGGAGGGGTGGAAATGAACATTATTTTAAGAAACATTAGAAATAAAAGCCCCATTGCAGAGCAACAGACTATCCCGATTACTCCCCTTGCTGTAACCAGCTCAGTTAGTAAAAGAAAAAAAAAGGAAAAAATCCTCAGCACATCCCATCATGACCACCCCCCAGAATAATTTAAAAACATGTTGCCCCAGTGATGGGCAACTGGTGTCATCTTGGCACACAAAGGACAGGCCCACCAGGCCCATCACTGAACAGTCATGACAACTGTAGGATCTTGACATAGGGGTGGGACCTCTGTCAGGTCCAGCGGCCGCAGATTGGCGACCTCATCGGGCTGCCTGGTTACAGAGGGCTGAGTTATAGATGTCCCCCAAAAGGTACAGTGTAGCCTTTTAGTAACAAAATGAAACAAAATGAAGACTCTGAGACAAAACAGATAGACATGGATTTAAGAGCCCAGCATTATAGCGACTGACACATTCCTAACTTAGATTCTCAGCTGAGATTATGCCTCCACAACCTGAAATTATAGAGGGCAGAAGATATGCTCAGACCGAGAATAGAGAGAACAAATAGAGCAGAGCTGGGGTCAGGACATCAACACCCATGTGCTTATCTCCACCGGGGCAAGAGGTGCCCATACGGTAACGAACTGTAACTAGGCTGAAAGCACCAGGAAGATGGGGCCTGTGTCCTCGCCATTGCTTTGTTTCTAGTGCCAGCGACTGTGCCTGGCACATGTTAGGTAAGAAACATCTATTGAATGAATGACTGAATTAACAGACATTGGTAAAACATATTTTACTGTTTAAAGTGCCCTCATTGACCTGGGTAAGGAAACTTCTAACTTCCAGTTCAAAGTTTCGGGCTTGTCCAAGACTATATGAGATAGAGGTCTCTTCTGCCTTGTCTGATGTGGTGGCCTCATAACTTAGTCTTATTTTCCATCTAAACGGCACTCCACAACTCTGAAAGCTCTGAAAGCTTACGACAACAATCCAATGAGGTATACAAGCACACCTCATTTTATTGCTCTTCACTGTATTGCGCATTATAAATACTGCATTTTTTTACAAATTGAAGGCAAGACCTCCACCAGCAAAAGATTATGAATCACTTTTTTGCAAGACTCTCTTGATTGCTGTGATCTGGACTCTAACCCACAGTATCTCCAAGGTATGACTGTATAGGACAGCAAGGATCCACACCCCCATTTTTTCAGAATAAATACACTGAACTTTAATTAATTGGTTCAAAGATCAAAATAGCCATGCTGGAATCAGAACCCAATTCTCCTGGGCCCCAGGTCCCCCAGGGTTCAATCACCACACTGTACTTCAACTGAATTAGAGAAAACCTGTAGCTCCCTGCACCGCCAGCCCGCCCCTCCCAAGCACCTGCACAGAGAAGCTGAAGGAAGTACAGAGACTTGAGCTCAGAAGCCAGGATCTAAACAAGTTACATACTTCACGGGACTGGCTACCAAATACACAGAACAGCCCTGGCATCCTAGGCTCTTTCACCTTTTTTAGGGATGGAGCCGCGTGGAGATGGAGCAGCTCCTGGCAGGCAACTTGGGCTTTCTCAGGAAGATTCTCCATCCGTCCGTCGGCTGCATCAGCACCCTTCCATTGCCGTTGTCACTGCAATCCCAGCTTAGCTGCCCCAGGTTACCAGATGCTGGGCTCCTTTAGCCCTGGCGTGATAGCCCAGCTTTGGAGGTGTATACAGAGAAAACCGTTCTTACCTCGTTAATACTTGGGCTTTAGGGAGGGGCACTGATAGCTGAGCTGTGCGGCTCTTCTCCTGGCTCACCAACTCCCTTCTCAGTTTTCTTCTCCTCCTCCTTGCATTTTGCATAACTGTCCCTTCTAAGAGGAAACTCCACTGCCCTCCCCCTTCTGCCAAAGAAATGGTCCACCTTCCAGGATTGGGTAGAGAAAGCATTCACTCCCAGGGAACTTTGATATCAGCAGCTTTAACACTGAGAGACTCAAGGGGTGGGGAGACTGACTGCTTGAGATAGGCTGGACGCATTCTCGCCCACAACTGGGAGATGATCCTGGAATGTGCCCTCCTTTAAAGGAGCTGGAAAGATTAACTCCCTGAGGGCGAAGTGAAAAAGAAAGGAGAGCCCTGGGAAACTGGGAACTGAGGTCTAGGCAAACCACCAGTTACAACCAAAATGCCCACAGAATCTTAAACTTTACTCCTCTATATTAATCTTACCTCTTGCAAAAAAGAAGGGGGATGGAATGAGAAAGCTATTTTTGGATTGCATCTGACTGTTAACTCTAAGCTGTAATAGCGAGGTGTGTGCAAAGACAAAGAAAAAGAAACAAGTTAACATCAAAGATTATACCTTCTTATGAGCTGTGTGTCCTTGGGCCAATTGTATAGCTACTCTGAGCTATTTTACATAGTTGTGAGTATGAAATGTCAATGTAAGAAACATTTAAACCTATAGAGAATTTTTGTGAATTTGTTAGAGCCAAACTGATGGCAATTGCTGGGAAGGACAATCTCAACAGACTGAGAAAATGCTCCTGAAACTGGCAGTTTTGCACCTTATTTTATACATTGCAATCAAAAGAGACGACATAAGTGGGTTACATGAAATCCATTGGTGACAGATTAGGGAGGTGGGAGAAAGCAAAGGAGAGGTGCGGGGGGAACCTTTGGGATTGGATGAAGATGTAAAATGATGGACACTTCTTTTGCATAGGTGGGTATAGGATAGTTAACAGTCAAAAATTAACACGATAATAATAACAATAAGGGGATTTGTGGTCTCCCTCTGGTGCAGTGCCTGTGCTTAGGGGTCCAGATAAAGGAAATTACTTCGACATTCCAAAGGTATATTGTCATAGATGCAAAAAGACAATAGACAGCCTTAATTAAGGTAAAGATTGACTTTTGCCAGGGAAGATTCCAGCCTAGGACATGACTACCGACCATAAACTTCTTTTAGTTAGAAAGCTTTAATTTCAGATCATCCTTTGTGGTTACTTTAGGTCCCAGAGTTTGTAAGGCTGCCATGAAGATCACCCCTGAGCTTGTCAGGCCTCTTTTTGTCCACAAAACAGTAGACGAAAACATTTATACAACATGTGCACGAGTGAATATAAATTATGGTGGAGTGTAGAAACCACTGACGTTGGATTTAGCCATCTGGGCAAGTCATTCCACCTCTTTTAAGCCCTGGAATATCAGTGTAAAATAAGGTGTAAAATTCAGTGTAATATATGCATATATATGCACCTTATAGAATTTTTGTGAATGTTAAGATTGGATTAATGCGTATAATGCCCCGATGAGATGTTATAACAGTAGTGAGTTAAAAAGTGATAGTTATTATTGAACCATAATAACTTCTTATATCTTAGCAGCTGCTGGCTCATTTTCCAAGCCTTGAAAGAGGGAGAGCAAGTGGAGTTGCCTGAGCTCTGGATAACCTGGGAAGTATTCTACTGGTTTCCATCAGCAGAGACCCCTAAGGCCTTATTGCCGGCACAAATGACCAGCCATGTGGTGGTTCCTGATATTGATTTCACTTGTGTGGCCCTCCCTCCCTATTTCTCTTAGGCAGGGAGAAATTTCTCTCCCTCAAAGTAACTACGTGCAGAAATATAAGTTGAAGAGCCAGAACTTGGAAGTTGGTGGTTCTGCTTTTATTCTTATTATCCAAGCAATTCTTGTTAATTGTAAAAAACTGAAAATACAAAATATACAAGGAAGACAATATAAATTCCTTTACATTTTGCTGCTCAGAAAAAACCACCGTTGATCCATTCTCCCACCCCCCACCCCATGCATGCAGAAATCTGTAAACTTGAGATCACACTGGAAAATACAGGTTTGTATTGTACTTGCTTTCCCTTGATCTTTATTTTATTTTAAAACATTTTAAATTATAAAATTAAAATTAGGGCACAAAGGTACAATTTAACTAATAATATAAAGGCACTACCACTTAAAAAAACAAACAAAACAAAAACCCAGAGCAGTGCTAAAGCTGCTTAAGTGTCTCTTCCCTTCCATGACCTCCCCCCACACTCATTCCTCAGAGGTGCCCGCTTTCATGAGTGGTTCCTTGCTTTTCCTTGTAGTTTATCACCTTAAGCAATACAATGAAAATTTCCCCAGTTTGACCTTTATTCACGTAGAATCATACCACATGTATTCTTTTGCACTTTGCTTTTTTAATTTCACATTATCCTTGTAAAACTCATCATGTCGAATATATAGTTTTTTTGTTTTCATTACTGTGTAGTATTCCATGTGTGACTACATCACAATTGTTCCATGATGTTGTTAATGGACATTTCAGTTGTTTATGGTCCAGAGCCATAAGTAAACATTCTAGACGTGTCTCCTGGCACATATCTATAGGGGATGCTGAGACATGGGCAGGGTTTGGCTTTGATTTTTTTCACTTCACACTGTATCGTAAGCACTGACCTATGTCAATAAACATGGAAGACATTACTTTGAAAAGATTTACTATATGTCAATATTTCAATGCTCTATTGTCAAACATTTATATTGTTTCCAATTTTCTCTATGACATATAGATTTACTATACATCAATATTTCAGTGCTCTGTTGTCAAACATTTAGATGTGTCCAGTTTTCCCTATTACATGTGATGAATACAGTGATCTCAATAGTTAACAAAGCACTCGACATAGTCCTCAGTACAGGTAGCTGCCCCATCTCTCTCCTTACATGTAATGCCATATATCATAGCATCTTTAACTTGTGATTCATAAATCAGGACTAACTATTGGAAATACCAAGCTGGAAGCAGACATTAATTAAGAAATAGGCATTCATAGTAATTAAAATCCCAGAGTATCCAAAACAGAGGCATTCCCAGTAAGTAATTACAGAGTGTGAAGACCATGAACAAAGATAATTATAGCTACTGTTCGTTCAGAGCTTGCTACAAGCCAGGTACTGCACTTCACACTTAGCTGGATATCGTATTCAGTCTTCGCCATGGCCTTATGGGGTGTATTCCACATTTTCCAGATGATATAATATGGCTTATAGTGCAAAGCCCAGACTCAGCTCCAGGTTTGGGATCAAAGCCGAGGCTTACTTATCAGGCAATGCTACTTCCCTGCATTATCGTGGAGCAGAACTATTGAGTTTATTTCCTTTTGCTGTATTCCATCAACGTGCAGGGCAGAATTCTTTCTACAAGTATAGGAATAGAAATTTAACATTCATAAACAGCAAGAACTGCCCAAATTCCCTGTCCCACCATGTAATCCCCAGCCCTTGCTGAACTCATGGGGGTGTCTACTAACCTCATGTGAAAAGAAAAAGAAACAACATCTTTGTCAATTGCTGATGAACACTGGTAGTTGGTTTTGCTGTTGTTGTTTTGTTTTGTTTTTTCAGAGAGAGGGGAAGAGAGGGAGACATAGTGTGAAAGAAATATCAATCACCCGCCTCTCCCAACTGGGGACCTGGCCTGCAACCCTGGCATGTGCCCTGACAGGAACCAAACTGGCAACCTTTCGGTTCAGAGGCTGACGCCCAACCCGCAGAGTCCTACCAGCCAGGGCAAACACTGGTAGTTTTAATCCAGGCCTTTATAATGTTCTCTTTATGCTTTTTTGAAGACTGCCCACATATAAGGTCACTGAGACACACCCTAGTCCCAGAATAATTCGTGTCACCTACCGTCTTTTTCTTGATAGGAATTCACGCTGGTAGAACGCCAAGGAGCAAAAGGAAGGCATCTTCTGGTCGCTGGCATCTGGTCACTACTAGGCGGTAGTCCGCAGTTCAGATATTGGGCTGTCAAAGGTCTATACTATTCCACAGCACCAGGAAGAAATTTGAATGCCAAAGACTGAGATCCAAGCCCTCTGAAGGAAATTTCACAGAGAAAATACCATTTATTTTTCTAAAGCAGCACTGTCTAATAGAACTTTCTTTGATGAGGAAATATTATGTTTTGCACTAATTCAGGAGCCATTGCCACATGTGTTCATTGAACACTTGAAATGTGGCTGATGTTACCATGTTGGAAAATGTAGTTAAGGTTGAACAGATCCAATCTCTTTCTGAAAAACAGTCTCAGAAAATCTGATGAAAGACAAAGACTGTCATTACAGAAAAATGCACCTTTGCTCATCATACAAACACAAAATCAGACCCAGGTTCAAGGGGTTCTCTTAAGTTAAGAGTCCCTACAAAAGGCTGCATGTACTTCAGGTGCTTCTTAAAACATGACAGTTGTCTGCCAGGGACCACTATTCAGCAAAGCTTTGTGCTCCCTTCCTTGATCTTGGATCTTTACCGTCTTTACAGACTGGGTGAAGAAACCTGGGTCAGCCCCTGAGTCAGAGTCTGATTTTCGTAGGAGTCAAGAAGGAGTTTTCTGCTGACTGTGTTACTGTACATAGTTCGCTACTTATTAATAAGAAAGGAAACAAAGGGTATTCAACATTGAGCTTAATAAACTGGGGAGCATGAGCCTGCTTGTTTAGCCAGGACATTTACAGATTTGTTCACGCGCTGCCTCTGAGGAGACAATCCTAGGAGCATAGGAAGTCTCCCCAGGAGCACTGTCCATCTGCCCCCTCTGGTACCAGATGGTTGGGGGGCATAGGGGGAGGTACTTGATCATCGAGGCCTGTCAGTCTAACTAGGGGGTGAACTCATCATGAGCCTGCAAAAGCTTTGA